GCAAACATGAATCTACTTTTCTCTTACTATAGATATTCCTTTTCTGGACATTTCATATAAATAAAATCATATATAGTTTTTTTATGTGTTTGGCATCTTTAATTTGGCATGTTTTTAAAGTTCTTTCATATCGTAGCATGTATCTGTATTTCTCCCCCCCGCCGCCTTTTTTTATTAGTATTGGCATTCCATTATGGATATACCACATTTTGTTTATCCCTTCACCAGTTGATGGGTATTTGGGCTTTCTACTTTTTGGCTATTATGAATAATGCTGATGTGAACATTAATGTACAAATCTTTGTGTGAACATATGTTTTATTACTCTTGAATAGATATGTAAAAATGGAATTGCTGGGTCATATGAAAAACTTATATTTAACCTTTTAAGAAACGGCAAAACTGTTTTCCAAAGTATACTTCTTCACATTCCCACCAGCAACGTATGAGAATTTCTTTTTCTTAAAACTTTTGCCACCAATTGTTATTGTCTGTCTTTCGAATCATAGCCATCTTGGTGGCTATGCAGTGGTAACTCCTGGTGTTTTTAATTTGCATTTTTCTAATGACTAATGATGTTAAGCATCTTTTCATGTGCCTATGAGCCATTTGAACATCTTCTTTGAGAAATGTTTATTTATATCTTTTGTTCATTTAATCCATATATATGATTGACAAATATTTTTTCCAATCTGTGGCTTGTCTTTTTATTTTCTTAATGATATGTTTTGAGTGCAAAGTTGTTTTTGTAAAATTAATTTTTAAATAATTAAAAATTCACAGGAAATTGCAAAGATAGTATAGAGAGATCCTATGTACTCTTCACTCAGTTTCATTCCCAAATTTTGAGTTTTGTTAAGTCCAATTTATTAATTTTCTTCTTTTATGGATCATACTTCTTGGGTTGGGTCTAAAAAAATCTTTGTCTAACCCAAGGTCTTGACATTTCCTCCTGTTTTATTCTAAAAGTTTTATAGCTTTAGCTCTTACATTAATGTCTCTAATCCATTTTGAATTGCTTTTTGTATACTATGTGAGGCAAGGTGTCTACTTTTTTTTTTATGTGAATAGCCAATTGTCCCAGCAGCATTCGTTGAAAACTACTTTTCTATCAAGCTATCTTTGTCATAAATCAACTGGCCATAAATATAAGGGTTTATTTCTGAATGCTCAAATCTGTTTCATTAATCTATGTTTATCCTTATGTCAGTACCAAACTCTTTTGATGACTAGAGCTTATATTGCTTCAAGAAATGAAAGTTCTTCAACTTTGTTCTTTTTCAAGAAATTTTGGCTATTCTGTCTTTTTGATTTCCATGTACATTTTAGGTACGATTTGTCAATTTCTGCAAAAATGCCTACTGGACTTTTGATGGAGACTGAGTTGAATCTATGGATCAGTATAGGGAGAACTGCCATTGTAGCAATATTGAGTCTTCCTATTGGCAAACATGGAATGTCTCTTCATTTATTTTATTTAGATCACATTTAATTTTCCCGGCAATGTGTTGAAAATTGTATTGTATATGTCTTGCACTTCTTTTGCTAAATTTCTTTTTATATTTCTTTTTAGTACTTTTGTGAATGGAATTGTTACATTTTTTATTTTCAGGTGGTTCATTCTAGTATATAGACATACAATTTATTTTTTTATATTAATCTCGTATTCTGTAACCTTGCTTAATTTTATTAATAGGAGTTTGTACGTGCACGTACACACAGAATTATATTGCAAATAAGGACAATTTTACTTCTTCTTTTCTAATCTGGATGATTTTGTTTCTTTTTCTTGTGATTGTACTGGCTAGAACCTCCAGTATCTTGCTGAACAGAAGTTGTAAGAGCTGACATTCTTCTATTATTTTTTCACCATTATGATGTTAGCTATAGGTTTTTCACCGATGCTCTTTATCACATTGAGGAAATTCTCTTCTCTTTCAAGTTTGCTGAGAACTTTTTTTACAGCTTTATCGAAATATAATAGACAATTAGTTGCTCATATTTACAGTGTACAATTCAATGAATTTTTTTTCAATTATAATTGGCATACAAGAATATATTAATTTCAGTTGCACAGCATAGTGATTAGAGATTTATATAACTCACAAAGCAATCACTCCAATAAATAACCCTTCTGCTCCCTTACATATTTTTTACATTATTGACTATATTCCTTATGCTACACTTTATATGTCCATGACTATTTTGTAACTATCCATTTGTACTTCTTAATTCCTTTGCACTTTTTCACCGACCTCCCCAAGCTCCTTCTCATTTAGTAGTCCTCAAAATAGCCTCTATATCTATGAGTTTGTTTGTTTTTGTTGTTGTTATTTTGTTCTTTAGGTTCTACATGTACATCTACATTCTGCATCTACACGTACGTGAAATCACATGGCATTTGTCTTTATCTGACTTATTCCATTCAGCACAATACCCTCTAGGTCTATCATGCAATATCTTTTTCCATCCCCTTACTTTTAGTCTCTGTGTGTCTTTAAATCTGAAGTGAGTCTCTTGAAGGCGGCGTATATAAGAGTCTTGTTTTCTTATCCATTCAGCCACCCTATCTTTTGGTTGGAGTAATTAATTTTTTTTCACTTAAGGTACTTGTAGTTATTGCCATTCTTTATTCATGCTTTTGATACATATTTTTCCTTCTTCTTAAAGAAGTCCCTCCAACATTTCCTGTAATACTGGCTTGGTGGTGATGAATTCCTTTACCT